CATTTGACCTTGCGACGATGGCAGGCGTCACAGGCCCGCTTGACGGCCTGTGTCATGTTGGCGACGTGCGGTGAAGACGTGGTTGCGGTATTGCTGGTGTCGGGGTCCCGTCGTGGGCGTCGTCGGGTGTCGTCGTCTCGCGGGTTAGGGATGGGTCTGCTGCGATTACTCTGCACGGCTGTGGCTGAAAGCGGCGGGTGATGGCATCGACAGCGAGATTTCCAGCGGGCGCAAGAGACGATTGAGTTTTGCGGGGAAAGAGGACTGATAAGGGAAGTGGTAGGCGTGGGAAGGGGGAGTCGTGGAGGAGTTTGTGAGGATGGATCGCAGTATTCGGCCCTTTCTGTATGCACACGCTGGGAGCGAAACGCGGGGGATGGTGCCAAAATCCGGGGCTGCAACGCCCGTTACAACCCTTTCCAGTCGTCTGTGCAGAAGAATAGCAAGCGTTAATCGAGTGCCGGACGTCGACGGTGGCTGTTTCGTCTGGAGTTTGTCGCTTTTGCCTCGAGAGAAAAACACAACTGGCGATGTTGAAGGAGAGACTGGGAGTGGTTTCTCGGTGAGGGTCGGTAGGTTGGTGAGGAAGAGGAGTTCGGGTGTGGGTGGGCGAGGGAGGATGGATGTATGGAACCGCAGTGGGCTGAGGGAAGTCACATATTATGTAAGGTAGAAGAGGGAAAGTGGAAGAGGAAAAGAGGACAGGCACGGCACGGGCTGGAAGGAAGTTGGTGTAGTGCGAGCTAGGTGGTCAACGAGTGGAGAATAAGGGAAAGAGCGGCGCGCGAGAGTCTGAAGATGAACAAGGGTGGTGGGCACTCGCACTTGCACTTGTTGCTACGAAAATGGGAATCGAATCGACGGGAAGGAGAGGACGAGAGGCCAGAGGAGAGGACTTTCCTTCCAGTGCCCGAGGTGACGGGAAGAGGTACCTCTGCGGTGTACGGATACTTGGGGGCGCTCCTAGTGTGTTTGGTGGGCTTGGCCTGGGTTGCTAGGCCTCTTGCAGCAAGACGCTAGCCCGACTGAGAGGCGCGGCTTGGGGAGACGGCCTCTGGACTGGTCATTGCCCCCGGGGGAGGAGACGAGCACTGGGCAGAGAAAAAGGCGCTAGCAACGAGACAGGTCACAGCCTTGAGGAGATGAAAAAATTGTCAGACACACTGTGGGGAGACACGGTGGGCATTACCCAGTACCTGAGGGAGTTGGGGTGACAGTCCACGAAACCGGGCAGGAGCACCTTCTCCTCGGGTGCTTCCCCACAGTGAGGCGTCATTTTCACCAGACCAACGGCACTGTGCGCAGGGGGCGCCTTCCTTGCTGTGTTCTGTCTGTTCGTCCTTATTGTCTGCATTGTACCCGGTACGTACCTTTTACCTGCTGCTGTCAACACTCCATCGCCTATTGTGTCTCTTCTCCATTGTGAAAATGGTGCAAATTTCCACGGTCAATGCAGAGGAGCCAAGGGGTCCCTGATATTTCTGAAGAATCACTGGAAACAGCCCCGAACGCCAGCAAGTCCTCTTCTCTACTGCTGTTGAGCTCGGCTGCACGGAACTGCTGGAGATGAGGGCAAGAGACCGTCATGGCCAAGAGGCAGAGAGGGATATTTGGCAGAAGCAGCAACACAGGGCGATGCGCGGGAGACGCCGCCTGCAACGTCGTACGAAGGCTGGAGCTGCTGCCTGTACATGGCATTTCGTAACGAGCAGGCCAATGGGAGGCGTCACTGTCCAAGTATTCGTACCTCAAGGAACGCCAAACCGAGGCAGAGGCCAGGTGCTACTTTGTACCTCCCATTGGAAGTCCACCTCAGCGACAGACAGTCAGCAACTGCGCCTACGAATGCCCTCGATGTACCTCTTGCCCATCCATCCGCCGGAGAGTACATGCACTCCGACTGCTGTCCAGACTCACGTCCAGGCCGTTGCAGTGCTGAGCCGTCCGCTGACCTGCTCCTCCAGCTGCTGCATGCCAGTCGCCTCTTCTCTCGCGGTACCCAACGGCAACGGCAGCCGCCGTCCTTTTCTCGACGTTTCAGTCGCAACTTGACCGAGGTCAGGGTTTTACAGAATACTCGCCTCACTTTCGACCTCCTTCTGTGGTGGCCGTTCAGGACGCATCTTTCACGGTATGCGCAAGCCGCGGAACGACAATGACGCTCGCTGGGCAAGCCACATCACCTCAGCTGCTGGTCTCGTGATGCCCCTCCGCCATTCCCGTACTCGACCCTCATCACCACCAATTTGCCCACCGGCACTCGTTACGAACAACGACGACGCCAGCAGAACACGAGCCAAACCGCCTGCGAGCACCCCAAGCCCGCCACGCCGTCCCTTTGTTTTCACTGGGTCCTATGGGCCATGGCGCGCTACCGCCCATTGTCTGATCTGATCTGATCTGGCCCTGCTGGGGCCCCTAGCCAACTTCCAGCCTTTTGTCCCGTCCCAACAAGCCGGCATCGACTGCGTTCTGCCCATAATTGCACCAGTCCACTCAAATCTCCTGCCCGTTGCCAACTGTCTTGCAGCTCCTCGACATTTCGAAATTTGAGGCACACGAAACCGCCTGTGCGAGGGACATCCCTCGCCGCACCTCGACAGCCACGCCAGCAGCCACAAACAGACGCACTGATGCGCCCATGGGGATGCTGGACGCAGGGACACCGTTGACCCGGGATGCAATGTCTTGCCCTGCCTCCGTATTGCCGGTCCGTGGACATTGCTTGCAATTGCTTATTGCTGTCTCTGTCAATGGCGGGGACGCTGCATTCCAGGTTTCTCGAAAAAGCCTCTCAACACCGGCTGTCTCGACTCTCGATGGGGCTCGGGTCAATGCCGACCAATCTTCGACGCCACTACCATCCAGTAGTTCAGCAGAGCATGAACTCTGTTCTGTTGGCCTCGACGAGATGCTGATCGTCCGACACTTGGGATGGCTGAAGGCGCCGTCCAACACTACAGCCTGCAGCGTCTGTTCCCACTGACCGAGCACTTGGTCTCCTCTAACCCAACGACCAGCCCTCAAAAGTTCTCACCGGCTCCTGTGTTCTGACGGGGCTGGAATCGGTCTATGATGGCCATGCAGCAAGCATGCTTCGATAACCCACAACATGGGCATCGATCGAGATGCCGTTCCTTTGCTCGCCGTAGCAGACAATCCCCAGCGCTTCATGCTGGGCAATGATGGCTTCCGCAATCCTGTCGGCACACTGTCCACACGCAAACACGGCTTGGTCTTGGCAATCTGGCAACTCGCAAGCAATCTCACAAGTCACAGTCACCCTCCATCAATGACCCCTGGGCCTGTCATCCCCCAGATCGCCCTCAAGCGACACAGCAGGGAACCTTCCAAATTGTCTTCCACCGTGCTTCTACTCGCTCCAGTCCGCCTATCAAACAACGTCTTGCCCTCGACCACCCTCCTTGGTCGACGCAGCTCGCCGTTTGCAGCCTGTCACGGCGTCAACTGCCTTGCAGGTCGTCTACTTCTGCCCAGCAAATGTTTGCCAATCCATCTAGAGGCATTTCTAAGGTCTTCTTGTGCCAGATACAGACCATGACGACCACATCTCAACTTCATTGTCTCTGGCGCCGGCCTTGACATCCAATTCAGGACTCATTTTGATCATGACAAAAAAGTCAGACATCAGGGCAACCACCCCGTCGTGGCGGAGGCCAAACCAACGCTACAGCTACACGTACATGAGACGGCGTGTTAGTGTCCGCCGCCTGCCTCCCCGCCGCCGCTAACGTGCATCAACACCGCCTCTGTCTGCAAATGCCGTCCTCCCGGCACGCCCGGAGGAGGGCGACTGCTCTTATGTCAGCGGCAAAAAGTCCCTCGTGGCACAGCAGCTGAGGACAAACATGCGAGTCGACATAATCGTGTCAGTCCCAGCATCTAGGAATGCTACGTTTCGACGGATACGCAGTCGCAACGGGGCTGGAGAGCCTGTTCTGACCCTGGCATCCCCCTCGTGGCACCAGAGGCACGACAGCCGCCATAAATGCCCATGTCCTTTGGGCAGAGAGATATGCGAATCTCCTCAAACAGCAATTCCACAGGGCCAGTTCCCAGGCGCACGGCGTCTTCTCCCTGCTCTGATCCCTTCCATGACAGCGCCCAGCCCAAGATGGCTGCATCAGCACATCGCCGTCCGTCCACAGCTCCACCGCCGTTTTCCCCATGCCCAAGTACCGGCCAGTGAGCCAGCGAACCAGCGCTCGAGCAGCCGGGGTTGCGGAGGCCGCTTTCACCAAACCAGGCGGAACGGCACCGCGCCCCCTAATCCGATGGAATGATTCTGTGCGTCCCCCCTCCGCTCTCAGCCCACTTTCCACCTCCACATGCGCCATCCCGTTCCCGGATTAGCGCTGTCGGTCGGCCCGATAAGGCGCTACTGCAGTCTGCCTCTTTTTCTTCAGCACCCGCGGCCAGTGACATGCAAGGCTGAGGAACAGACACAGACAGCTGCCTCATCTACACCGTGGCGCCCCAAACACTCGTGCGCTGCGCATCCTAGACCGCCGTCAACACATGGCTGCACAACCGTTTGATTGTTCGCAAACACGGCCCAGAAAGGTCTGGATGCCTTCCGCGGCTTGTTTCTTGTCCAACGCCGCGGAAGATGCCGCCGTGGTCGTCGACAGAGTTCGCCAGTGACAGGGCGCCCCGACCACCTGGTTAGACTTTGTCCATCCCATCTCTGATGCGCGGTTTCATGAGACGGCAGGCTGTTGTCGGCTATGGCCCAGCTGGATCGGCGTTAACATTCCCAACCTCCGACCGGCAACCCAGGGCTGAAACATGGAGGTCAATTGCCGGCCATCATATCAGACACTTCGCAGGGAGAGCACCGGGCATGCTGCGAACTGATCAAGAAGAAATGTTGTTACAGCTCAACTGCCGACGATGTGCTCCGGACAGGAGGAAGTTCATGAATAATCCCCACATTCCCTAACGCCAAGATATCCAGACCAATGTCCCATAATATACTCTTACAGATCCTCGTATGAACTGGGCGGGCAGTTGCCCTTGCACCGCTTCGGAACATACCGCACGCTGTCCGCGCAGTTGTTCGCGTCCCCATGCTCTCCCAGCTCGCTAGCGGGAACAAATTGCCCGGTCTGCAAGCTGCCCTTCAAGAAGTAGCTATACCACGCCTCGTGCAGCACATCCCTCTTGCGCCCCGAACACCGCAGCACCACCTTGCCCCCGCTCAGCCTCTCCAGCGTCTTCGTCACGTCCTTGATGGGATACGTCTTCTCCCGCGAGGGCACGATGCCCGCCCGCTCGAGCGCCGTGAAGGTGTCGAGCTGCTTGAAGAGCGCAAACGCGCGCGTGAAGTAGTCGACGACCTCGACGCCGGCGTCGTAGCTCTCGCCGTAGCAGCGGGTCGAGAGCGTGTTGATGCACGAGGCGTGCTTGTTGTACTCGTGCGCCCAGAGGTGGTTGTTGGTCCCGTAGGCCGCGACCCAGTACCGCTCCATGGACGCGAGCAGGTCGGATTGCCCGTAGTGGCGGAGGATATCGGTGATGTTGTTGAAGTGCGGCGTCATGCCGCAGAAGGCCTTGTAGCTCCCGTCGCAGAGGTCCGGCCTGGAAGGTTCAGTGTCAGTGCGTGTTTTGCATGAGGGGTCTTGAAGTCAATTCCGCCAGTTTTTGTCTGTGATGTGATTCTCCCAGCGACGATACGCAGTAGCCTTAGATTGAAGAGAGGAGGGTGAAGCGTACCATAGTCCATGAACAGTCCAGTCCTCCTCGCTCCCGCCCGTGTGCACCGTGTCATCCCAGAACTGCGTCAGCAAAATCCGCCCCGACGGCGCGACGAAGCAGCACGAGTCGGTCCCGGAGCCCGGGCTGGAGCAGCTTGTCGGGCCGTCGACGGGGCAGGAGGGGGCGCCGGAGAGGGGCTCGTAGGGGGTTACTTCGCCCTTCCATGCTACTGCGTCGTGTGAGAGCGGGTGTTGGTGGTGGGTTAAGGGTAGGAGGGAGGTGAAGCTTGTGAAGAGGGATTTGAACGACGGCGGCATTTTGTCGGGTTGATTGTGGTTGCTGGGTTGATTAATTGAAGCTGGATTGAAGGCGAGGCAAGGGAGGGGAGGTGGTGACGATGTTGCGAGGCGGAGCTGTCTGGGGAGCTGCACCGGGGGATTCTGCCGTGTCATGTGGGGATTTGGCTGGGGCTGGGGGGGACACCGCTTTGGTTTTGGGGATGTGATTGGATGGGATGGGTAGGAGTGGGGTTTGTGGGGGTGTGACGTGCAGGGGAGGGCACGTGGGTTTGGTGTTGGTTTGGAGTGTAAGTGGGTGGATGAGGGCAGATGAATGGGTTGATGAGGACCTGGGAGGTATTGCTTGAGAGGTAAATGGGAGAGTTGAGGTAGAGGATTTGAATTTTGTTTCTTTTGGTGGGGTTTGGGAAGGGTGAGGGATGCTGTTGAATTTCGGTAGATCTTATTGTAATGTTTTGTTTTCGATGTTCGTCATGGTTTCGCTGGCGTTGCCATCACCACAACTCCTTGCGGCATCAGCCATCGAGGCTTTTCCGTGGTAAATAACGCTTGGTTTTCAAAATCTGGACGGTATGATAGATGCGCCGCTTTGGTTTGCCCATTTCGCCCTGGAGGATTTGATCTTGGAGGTCAACAAGGTGCAAAGCCAGTATGGACCACCCCGTACCCTTTGAGCTATTCGATTCTTCGAGTTTGGGAGATGTTTCAGTGTCTAAGGCATGGTTGCATATAAATAGTGACGCTTTTGCTAGGTTTGCGAACTCAAAAACACAGGGCAAATCGACGCCCAACTTGTGACCTTTGCTATCTTCCTTTTCCTGCAAGGTACCCTTTTGGGATTCCGGCATTTACATTCTTTTCAAATCGGTCCATACGTCTCGGGCAGCGTTTGATGCATGGTGGAGGATATGTCTGGAATACCACGGGATGGACGGCGAGGATGACGGACGGCGTGTGGGCTGCAAATATCGCGAGAGTGGCTCTCGAGGTTGAAGCTCTATTCCGTCGAACGACTTTGACCGTTTTGGTTACAGGCGATTCAAGAAGCAAAACAAACAAGTCTTAGCAGAAGTTGCAATTAGGCGTGGGCAGGATTCAGAAGACTGCATGTCAGTTTGAATTTATACATGATTCTGTCCTTGCGAGAATCGCTTCCATGCGGTTTAGGGCGCTGCTACGCTGACAAAGTACGACTCCGCCATGAAGAGGGGTATAAAATTTAGTTTATTTCATGCCCCTACGGTTCGCTTATTGAAAAAGGATGAATGCGTCGTGCGGGAATCTCGCTGCGGAATGGTGCGCGTGCGAGCTGGAGATCATCATATATACGTGGATCGTGGAGGCGAGCCAGCTGCGTCGACGATCAGACGATCCTCATCATTTTACCAAGTCGAGAATACTTTGGTACCAGAGGCAGTGACGGAAGGTGGTGAATTTGAACGTTTAGGCGTGATTCATCTAGCAGGTTATATCTCAGGCCTGACGTATGCGATTTGCGGTTCTCCTGTCATTTTCAACCGTCCAATCTCATGACGACATTGATAGAACTGTCTTTGCCACATTTGAAATTAAATAAGGCCTGGGAGGATGGCCGGTAAGTCGTGTTCTGAAGCACACAGGACGTGATCTTGAGATAGCTTGATCCATGTCATTCTAGGCGCTTTTTGTTTCGCTAGGTCCCAGCTGGGGACAGGGGTTTTCTTTTATTTAAGCAAATAAATTGTCATGGACTTTCTATCTCCACGATGGCAGGAGCCAATGGCAATAAATAAGGCGGGCAATTAGTCCACAGATGTCTCAGTATCAACGTAAGAGTTGATACATCGTGAATTTTCTGAAATGCGCAAGACATCGGTGCCTACAATGTCGTCTGTGGTTGTGTGTTATTCGGCATATTCAACAGACGCCATGGACGAGGAAGGACGAAGGTCCATGCGACATGTAATCCCGAGAGAGCAGACTATTGAAGTCGCTCGTTGTCGTCGATAATGTTTGATGTGCCTTAACCAGAGACACAGTATTCTCACTATTGCATCATTGAGCGTCCTTTGAAGTCAAATTGTGTTCAATTTATAGTCTCCGTTTGGGTTACAACGGTTGTGTGACGGTGCGCACTTTTCAGGTTCCTTTTGCCTTGGGTAGAGATTAGCGATTTGAGAAGTCAGCAGACTATTTTGTGTTCCCATCCCCGCAAGACATCAGCATTTCTTCAAGCCCCTGGATGCCACTTCGACTGCTACTTATTTAATGAAAGCAGGTTGTGCGAGAAAAACCTACTCGCAGCCAATTCCACAGCTTTCCAGCCTTCGTGCTTGTCCGTAATGGCGAGAAACACACCTTGAATGCGGGTCTACTACACAAGCACCAACGCGGATGTCTAATGAACTTCCTCAAATTAGCTAGTTTGATGATTCGAGTAGAATAACACACTGACAGGGCGAAGCAGTGTTAGGTGGCAAGACGAAGCGATTACCGAGATGCGTGGTGTTCATTGAGTCCTAAATACTGCAGGAAGAGACTTCAGCTTTTTCATCCTGAACCAGTTTCACAATGATCGACAGGCGGTCGATTTTGAGGAACTCACAATGTAACAAGACCTGCGCCCTTTATACATACCTAGTGCCTGGAACATATCACCTTGCCGCTGGCGATCTGGGGACGGACGTACACGCCGGCGGGTATGCGCTTGAGCATGCAGCAATCTAAGACGAGACTGGAACTGCCAAACTAGGATATACAGAGGCTGCGGTTGGAAACAAAAGCACCCGAAGGATACTGTTCGCAAGGTTTGACGCAAGCGACGACAAAATGTATGGCAAGTCTTGTGAAGAGTTTAGCAGGCCACATATTTGCTCCAGGCAGAGCGACTGCCACTCTCTACAGCATGCATGCTTGTATGCTTTTGTCATACCATCTGGCAAGTATGTGGACGCAAATACCTGCGAGGAGACAGGAGTGGCTCTCCATCATCAGGAGCATGGGATATGGTCTTGGACGCACATGAGATTTACCGCCCGGGACATGCATTCACTCTGTTCTTGCTGCCTCGCGGAGAATGATGCATCCCATTGTTGCTTTGGAATGAGCCTCGCGAGCCAGTGAGTTTATATAGCGGCATTGGACATCACCTCCCGGAATCCGCTGTGGTGTTCACATTGACATGAACTGCCCTACAGTAAGTGCATTTTACCGGGAAACGCTTACGCAACGAGCATCTGCTATTTATTTATCTCCACAGATCAACCAGATTACCTACTCGACGTCAATGCAGTCAGGTTTCTGGAAGCGGGTAATGCCCTCTGATCATGAACTCGTATTCCTACTCTCCGAGGTGCCGACAGAGCCACATTAGCCCGGAAACTGTGCGCGGTTCAGAGTTGGTTTCAGAGCAAGTGCTCTTGAGAAAGTGTTGATGATGGAAGGAGGATAACAGTGATTCAGCGTCTGTATTACATCCACCCGGATAGCAATACTCATGACATAATCGGCAGGTCCCGAGAATTAGAGACCATGTTTAGATATCAAGCAACGTAGCCGACTGGGCCGTATGATTTCCGTGAGTTCTAGTAGGATCCATATTTTGCCAAATGAACGTTTACCGGTCCGATGCCAAAAAGTTTGGTTGGCTGCGGTTGGTACATGTCTTGACCCAGCGCTGGCGTTGACTCGGTGGGGGATACGTGATGTGAGACATTCGATTTCGGCCAAATGTGCTCTGCCCAAAATGGACACGTGAATACCACTGGTTGAAGATACTGACTAGCGAAGATCAGCCATTCTGGTTGCCCAACCAGGAAAATGCAGCAAGAAGGACCAGGTCTCAGACGAACTAAGATAATCTGGAAGGCTTTTGATAAGCAGGATATCTGTTACCAACGGCCAAGATCGCCGTGAATCCTTCGCTAGCTCAGGTTGAACCCAAAACAAGAGGAATTCATAGCATGACTAGAGAGACAACCATAAGAGGTAGCACGCGATTGGAGTTGACGAGGACGAAGAGAACAGACACCGAAGCTTGGAACGTGCACTTCTGTCCCTAAAGGTTGAAGTCCAAGATGAGGTCTGCCTTTTGTTAGGATTGGTATCTGGAGGAAGTATGAAAAATTCGCGGCCCTCTTTGAATGGACGACGCACGCTCTATTATGAATCAAGAGGAACCAGACAAGAATGTTGGACGGACATCTGATGGCTCCTCGGCAGGTAATTGCCGTTCGCTGACGGTACTTCTTCTCTCAGTCACTCCGGATAGCCGGGTTGATCTTGGCAAGATAACACTCCGAGAAAGACTTGAGACACCCCCGAATAATGACTACCGATTTGTGCTCTCTCATCACAGCACATGCCTCAAGTTTTCTATCTCAGGAGCTGCAACACCAGGGACATATCAATCACCAGGAAGGCTGAAGACCTGGAATGATTGCGTTCGTATTTCTCGACCCAGTGGCTTGGCTCATATTGCTGATTCTGCAACAAGTCTCCGCGAACGTGGAGTCGGGCAGGGAGATCATCACACAGAAATGCCCCAGACAGCCATAAGCGCGTCTCAGTTCGGGAAGACGCACCCGGGACAGTTGACTGACAAAGCGGGGAAACCCGCCAGAGCCTCTTGATTCGACGAATCGCGCTGCAAGACACGGAGCTGACTTGGGCAGTCAGACAGTGTCTCGTGCGATGTCTCAACCGGACTCTCAGCCCGTGGCGCTTAGCCCTGTTCGGCGAAACCACTTCTCCAACCGGAGTAAAACGCAGAGGTTGAAGAACATGTGGCTACCTGAGAGCCTAAACCGTAACAGAATAGGCGCGAAGGAAATCTGCGATCAGGATGAGGATGGGATTGTGAGTATGGTGTTCCTTGGGCTGAGCGCGCGGGCTCTAGCGGGACGAACGTCTCAAACTGGGATCTGCAGTGGAATCGTTTTCATGATGCTAAACATGCTGCTAGGGAGTAGCCGAAGATTCAATTTCCGTTCGCATGTTTGGGCTTTCGCTGGCATGTGCTGATACAGCGGCATATCCAACGATGCTGAGGCAGCGCAAACAGCAGAAGCACCCTGTTTTGATTACAGACAGGGAACTGATATAAAGACTTGGCTCCTTGAAACTAATTCGACAGGAATCACCCAAGTCACAAGATATCGAAAGTTTACATCCTTCATAGTCAAGATGTCGTTCCCTTCCGACCAGTCTCAAGCCTCCGTGGACACGGCTCTGTCGTCGCTTCAGAACAGCCCCACCGAGCAGCAATTTCCCAGGGATCGGCAGCCGGGAAAGACGAAGAGAAACCTTATCCTGTGCTTCGATGGCACCGGCAATGACTTCTCCGCGACGGAGAAAGACACCAACGTCGTTAAGTTGCTGAGCATGCTTGATCGTAACCATGAGGACCAGTTCCACTACTACCAGAGTATGTCCCCTCTGCTTAGATGATAACATTGTAACTGATCCATGGCAACAGCTGGTATCGGTACCTACTCTGTCAACGAGAAGACTGTTCACAAGAATGGTTTCCAGGAGGCTTGGAGCACGGTCGAGAAGAAGATTGATGAAGGGTTTGCGAGTACCTTTGATGCTCACATCATGGCTGGCTACCGGTTCCTAATGCGATACTATGAAGCTGTGAGTGGCGTACCACATCTCAAATCGGGCCCCAGTTGCTGATTCTACGTGTGTAGGGCGACAGGATTTACATGTTCGGGTTCAGCCGAGGAGCCTATACAGCCAAGTTCCTTGCTCGAATGGTCTACACTGTAGGCCTGCTCTGCCGAGGCAATGAGGAAATGGTTCCTTTTGCTTATCGACTTTATGACCGCTACCTTGCTGGAAAACTCAAATGCAAGAAACATGAAGGTCAGGGCGAGGACGAACACTCCGATGACGAAGATCAGGACCTGGAGCATGATATCCCCAAGCCAAATGAGGATCCTGAGGTGGTGAAGAAGAAGCTGGAAAAGAAGGAACGCAAAGACCGAACCCGCGAGCTCAGGAAGTTCAGCAAGACGTTTTGCAAGCAGGAGTGGACTTACAACCCCGACCGGCCTCGGCATCCGTCCAAGGAAACCAATGTTAAGGTTCATTTCCTAGGCCTCTGGGATTGCGTCAACTCAGTCGCTGTCATGGAGCAAAACGCGACTAAGGAGGTGCTTGTCAAAGGCACTGCACGCATCATTCGTCATGCTGTGGCTGTTGATGAGCGCCGAGTCAAATTTAAAGCCGCTCTTTTCAAGCAAGACGAGGGCAAGAGAAAGAATCACGACTCCGAGGACGTGAAGGAAGTTTGGTTCCCCGGTAACCATGGCGACGTCGGAGGAGGATGGGACCCCGTCAAAGATCATCTCAGGGGAGACAACAAGAATGCTTGGTTCTGGAATCGATGGAGGTCCTGGTGGAGTGGGAACAACCGCGAGGTACCCAAGAACTCTCACGGCGAAACCCACTGCCACGTGTGCAAGGACTGCGGTCTCTGCAAAGGCAAGGACTGCCGACTGTCGAAGTGCAGATCTGAGCACGACAATTGCTCGGAGAACGAGTGCACCGCATGCCACGAGAACATTGTTTGCAACAACAAGGACCATACCAGGAAGCCGAAAATGATGAAGTTTGAGCCTTGCCAGCTGAGCGATGTCCCACTCATGTGGATGATCAAGGAGCTTGAGGCTGATGGCCATGTGAAATGGCGGAAAGATAAGGTCAATGAGTTCAGGCATCGGTTGGAGCACAACAAAGATTCGGCAGTCAAGGGTTCGGTTCATGACACCTTGATGCTTGGGTTCGGAAGTGGCTTCGGCACCGTCTTGTTTTGGAACTTCTTGGGTAAGATCCATGCTTTCACCCCATATGGAAGATTCTGAAAGACTAACGTATGCCTTTTGCAGAAATATTCCCTCTGATCAAGCGATGGGAACTCACCCATGGTGAGAACGCTTGGAATCGATTTTGGTATTGGGGCAGGGTGAACGCCCCGGTGAAGGACACTGAAACATGGGAATGGGTTCGATTCCCTCTCAACAGGGGCCAGACACGAGATATCCCCAGAGACGCCATCTTGCACCACTCACTTATCCAAAAGCTTTACACAGACGACGATTACATGCCGCAAAACAATCATGGCGACAAATCCCCTTGCCTGCTTCAGAAAGATGAGCATGGTAACGTCATCAAGAACAAGAAGGAGTGGAAAGAGATGTACAAGGTAATCGAAGCCGAACACAAGCTGAAGGCTCACCCTGATCACACCACGTATCACCTGGCGACGTACAAGGGCCCTAAGGTCCAAGATCACCACGAAACAGAGTGGCGCGGCCTGTAGCTCACGAGCAGCACATTTCGTTCATTTAACTTAAAATATTCTATGTCATCACAGTGCATCTAGTTCGAAAAAAATTGAAATGCTATTGAATTTGATGCATTCTATTGCAACTGAACTATTAGCTTGGATTTCGAGCCTTGAACGGTCTGCTTCCATTGTTATAATTACAGGTCGAACAAACGCGAAAAGAATATCCTGCTGCACGGGTTTTACATGACGACGAATGGTGATACAATCAATCATGATACCCCAAATCTTCTCCGATCAGGAGAATCGAAGGTTCCGGCTCCACCTCAGGAAAGTTCACAGGCCTGGGAAGGTTCTTGAACTTCAAAATTTGCTCAGAGATGCCGTTTTTATGCTGCCATTCCAAAATCGGATCATGAGCAACACACTGCCTTTTGATATTGAAGTCAGGGTATGGGTTTTCTTGAGTCTTCATCCAGTTGTGGGATATCAGATCTAGGCTTGGGTTGCATGTCAATGCCTGCAAGATGATGTCGACGCAGTGTGCTAAGTGAGCTTGATGCCTTTTCGGTGCCATTGAACTTGTTCAAAGTCAGCATCACGTCCAACCAAAAAGGGCCACCGAAACGTACATGTTCTTGTATGAGTTACTGTAATACTAAAATTGCATCAGTCCCGTCGTCTAGGATGCTTCGGCATGGAGGTACCTCGATGAACTTACATAGTCCCAGTAGGCATATTTACGTATAGCATTGAGGCAATGCAGCTGGTGTTGCATGTCAATCTCGACGAGATACTTGTCGGGGCCCACGCCCCAGTCCTCAGGGATAGACACAGAAATCTTGGGATCTTTGCCCATCTTTCTGAGTGCATCTCCGCTTACACCAAAATACTCGATGCGCGCCATGTCATCCCATGCTTTGTCGACCTCTTCGCTGGGCGGCTGTCGCCAAATGCGGGATGGAGTGTAGTCGTTGAACAGCGTTCCTTTGACTTCGACGGTCTCGAGCTTGATTGGAAGATCGTCAAGTATGGGACCTGAAGAGCGGCATGAGATCAAGATTTGAGACAGATAGCATGAACTTACTGTAAGGTGACACTTGCTTCATCAGCCGAATGGGGTCATGCAGTAGTCTCCAAGAGACAAACAGCATTCCACACGACAAGACGAAGAAGAAAACATTGAGGATCGTGATTGCTTTCAAGCGATAGCTCCATACCTGCCTACTCGGAGGAACTTGAGAGGGCCAGTTCAATTTCGATGACTCCAATCCTTAGCTTTCCTCATCAGAAGTCGGCAGCAACAAGTGTTTTGCTCACCTCATCCAAAAGGCTCTCGGCAGAGTCCTCCTCAAGGCCGTTGTGATAGATCTCTCTCATTTCTGTGAGTTGAACTGAAAAGCAGAGTCTACCGCAAGCGAAGCAAATGGGCTGTACCAGAAGATGTTGATTTTCCTGGCACGCTCATTGGGGTCAACGTCGGCAAAGTCGCAGTGCTCCGTAAGCGATGGCAAAATGAAGGATTCTGCCAGACTGTCCAGACCGAGTGAAGTCGTAAGATAAAATGTTTCCACCTGCCCGAAATCGAAAAGCCATCTAGATCCTTCACGTCCTACATAAAGCGTAGGAACTCGCGGTTGCATGGGACGCATTGCCCAATCACACAATGCAGCTAAAGGATGCGCCGAGACCGCCAGGATTATGCCAAGAAGTGAGATTTGACTACCAAACCGGACTTATTCAGCGACGAGGCAGTACGAATGAGTGAGATGTCTTGATGTAGCCCATTTCGCGGCATTAAAACAGCCCGAATATTGAGAATGAAATAGGCCATCGAATGTCAACTTGGCACATGAAATCTGCTGACGATGAACTCTCAAACAGCGGAAGGATGGGGTGAAGGCAAAAGATAAGACGTGCCTCTAGGACCCCAAAAGATCGCCCCTCAGCGGAACAAGACACTCTAGGGTGAGACGCAGATGAAGTAGAGCTTTCGGCAAGGTTGCAGCACTGATCCGACGCGTAGACAGGAATTGAGTCTATTTGGCAACGGCCCTTGCTAAGCGTGGGATTCCGCGCTTGCAGATACCCCTTGTAAATCCACCCAGCACTTGGGGGCGGTTGTACACCTTCTCGATGGAGTTAGCCCAGTAGTCACGATCTCGGACTGTCTCGAAACGGCATGTAAAGTATGTGTTCAGTACGTCATGTGAGATATACGACATGCCTTCATTGGCATGATGCTTCGAGTAGGATTGGCGATGGATTTCGTGTCACATTGGCGACAATGGTATCATACACAGTTTAGTCCTACCAGGACCAAGCGCTACTTGGTTACGAGCACGTCGGGCGGAATATCGAAGAGAATGGGCGCTTATCTTCGCGACGGGACAGCGGAATACCTCTTTAGCGTTGACGATTGAAGGCGTCTTGACCCAGGTGATAGACCAAGGAGGTTGGCAGGCTTGAAGAAACGGTATAAAGCGACGACCGTTGCAATCATCAGTGGTCTATATCAACTCCAAGTCATCAACCAGGCCAACACAAACTTGGCAGCCCTCAGACAGCCGGTTATCATACCAATTATTCATCATGCGTGTCCAAAGTCTTCTTGTCACCGTCGCAGCTTGCGTCTCGTTCGCCTCTGGTGCGCCAGTTGTCGCCGAGGCATATGGCCCTCCTACCAGCCCGGATGTCATCTCCAAGAAAGACACCGTGGAGGCGTACGGACCTCCCGTCAATCCGCACATCATCTCCAAAAAGGACACCGTCGAAGCGTACGGCCCGCCTGTGAACCCGCATATCATTTCGAAGAAAGACACAGTCGAGGCCTACGGGCCTCCTGTGAATCCCCACATCATTTCCAAGACAAAGAAGGATACCGTCGAGGCCTACGGTCCTCCCATAAACCCTCATATCCCGGCTGTGGAGGAGAAGCGCGAGACTGTCGAGGCATACGGCCCACCGATCAGCCCTCACATCATTAGCTAGATGGAATGATGTCTATTATGTTCATCAGGAGGTTAAGAAGCCCGAGAACCGTGACAGCTTCAGGTCAGTGGTAGTCGCACGAGGGCAGAGTGGCTTCAGAAAGCTTTTGAGGAGGTTCAGCGTGTAGTTGGAAAAGGACATTCTACGAACGGCTCTCATGAGTTTCGGGAGAATTAGAAAATAGGAATCCGAGTCACAAAATACTGAATTCAGCATCGCATATTGTCACAAACGAGACTGGTTCCGCCACTGTGAAGTTTCCTGTACATGCTCATGCACTTGCTTTCATATCTAGTTAGATTTGCCAAGCTTGAAACAAACAAGTTGCGAATACTGCAACCAAAGAGACAAAAGTACAAGCATCCTCTGTGATTCGGCCATATAAGACAGGTATCGTGGGGGCCGGCACCCAGCCGGAGCAAAAGCAAAACGTTCCGAAACCGAGAATCGAACTCGGGGCTATGCCTAACCTCTCACGAGATGAGAGGGCATCATGTTGGCCACTACACCATATCGGATGCCATTTGATGAGAGAAGATGACAATTTTGCAAATATGTCCCAATGGTGGAAAAGGTGGATCAGCCCTAACCCGTCTTGCTGCACTTATCCGCCAAGACCCATCGACGACTCCAATTTGCATCTCCACTCTGCTTCTTTAGTGCCCCCAGGTAGCAGCACCTAACCAATATGCCGGGCTTTAGCATGGACCGCTGGCTTTGGACTACTCGACGAGAGGTATTCGCCATTTGAATGAGGGGATTGACAACTAGATTGAGGTCTTTAAGGATTTAAGAGAGTTGCAGTAGATCAACCGGTTGCTTTCAATGTGTGCTGAGGCCAAAGTGTAATTTGATTACTTCGGACCGTGAGTTCCTACAGAGCGCCTCAGACCCTTTCCTGTTAACGAGTTCATGGCTTAATCATGGAAAGAGTCAAGACGACATACTTGCCGAGGAAACCACTTTCTACGTTACTTTGTCATGAATGATCCGAAACAGCGCAAATTGTGGGAAGGTGCCGCCTGCCTCACAGACCAGGTGTTCGTCGAAGAAAGTGCAAGGGAAGGTGAGTTTCCCCGCTGAACGGAAAGTCAACTAGATTCAAATTGCCGACGCCCAATGACGACACCAATGTTCCCCAACGACATAACACTAGCGATCCTGAGTGCTGCGCTGTATAGACCTATCAGGCAGCCTACAAAATGTTGTTCAATCCTTTCACAGCCGTTGCTCGAATTTTGATGTGCAACTTCACCATTTTAATCCCACAGCAACATCAACCTGCTTTAGGATATTCACGCTTTGCTTTGAGCTTCGTCCGGACTCAGATGCACCTTTTCGGTACGCCACCATGAAGTCTACGATGACATCAATGCTGACACCATCAGAACAAAAACTGACTATTATGCCCGGTCACTCGACGGAAATCAAGCACCCTTCCAAGATCATGGTCGTCGGGGACTCGATGTCTCACGGCCGCGAGGGAGACTTCACCTGGCGGTACAGGCTATGGGAATGGCTCAATGAGGAGAATCTCAACTTTGAGTTTGTTGGTCCGTGCAACAGCACCTTCAAACCCTCGGAATCACAGACATCGAGCCCGTCTCTACTGGCGATAGAACAGTCAAATGAGGCATCACCAGAGGTTTGCAAGTTCATGGACAACGGTGGTTACGCAGACGGAATGAAATTTGGATCTCAGCACTTCTCAGTCTGGGGACAGCAAACGGGGCAATGCGCGGAGGCGATCCGCCAGCAGGTGGCAACGTACGAACCAGACTTGCTACTTGTCATGCTTGGCTTCAACGACATGGGATGGGGCGTCAGAGGACCAGAAGACACTATCAAGGTCATGAAGGAGCTGCTCGATAACGCCCGCTCTGCCAGTCCACGCCTGAAGTTTGCCGTCGCAAGTGTCCCTCAACGAACTCCCATGGAAGGCACCAAGCAATTGGCAAAGATGGTAGACACTTACAACAAATACCTGGAGCCATCGATCCACAGCTGGGATAATCGAGATTCTCCTGTTCGTTTGGTCAGAATACGCGAGATCTATGACTGCTTTGATGGTAGCTACGACGGATTACATCCTAACGCCCTTGGCGAGTTCCAGATTGCCAGAGCATTCTCTCAAACCTTGGTGTCTCATTTCAGCATCGGCACCAGGGAAATCGTCATACCGCAGAAGATCCCAGAGAGACCGAGTCCTGTTCCAGTGAACGTCACTGCAGTGGCTCAGCCGCAGGGGATCACGGTTGTATGGGATCGCGTATACGGCGCTCTAGGATATGACGTGAGATGCCGCTCCGACAAGACTTCGGAGTGGGAGGTTTGGCGCAAAGACACAAACCGACATGATACGATGGGTGTTGAGGATGGAGTCGAATACCAGTATCAAGTCCGAACGAACAATGGCCTCATGCATGGCAAAAACGTCCTATCGGAGTGGTCGCCTATCGTTTCGGTTGTTGCCCGCACAGCCGTGATACTAGAAGGAGAGAATTCACCAGAGCTTTAGCGTCTTCAGTATTCTAAGCAGGAACGTAGCATCCATAGCACTCCTCCCGCCTCCTATGCCACAGTAGCAGATTTTGCATTGGTAGTCGCTACGATGTATTAATTGGCATAGCTATCTCGTACGTTATTGAACATCCCATATTGTTGTGACAAATCTCTCAATTCGGGCGGAGAAGTGAAAGAAGTGCTGCATGTATCATTCTGCTCTTCTAATATTCATGCTATTTCTTTGGCTTTTGTAGTTCTTCTTTCGTGTCTTTCACCTTTACGAGATGCCGCCCAATCGCCGAAATGCTGTTCGTGATGCCCAGTATGGTCTCACTGCAGGTCTTCAAGAGTAATTTCAATAATTTCAATGGCATATTTCGCTTCAGTGTCTCTACACTCGTAGCTATCCTCACGTTAGCCGTTATCTCTGTTGTTGTCTCCGTTAACGTCCTTGTCGCCGTCCGTAATCCTTTAACTAAAGTCAGCTGTGACAACGAAGGCTTGTGGACATCGGAATGATACATTTACAACCCAACAAGAGATTTAGCGTTGAATATAGAGGATTTGAAGTTTTAGCGGTACACAATACCGATAGCGAGAGCGAGAGCGAAGTCCAGCATGACTCCATCGCTTGACCAACATCGAAAGCTTTGCTCATGGCACTATGAAACGCGTCCTCTTTCCAATTGCATACAACATCAAGCATACTTTATCTTTGGCAAGAAAAACACGATGCAATCCTCGAATGTGGTCGTGGTAATTGGATGCGGCGGCAAGGGCCTCCCCTGCGCCCGCCGTCTGGGCATCGGCCGACAGGTCTTGCTCGCGGATGTCTCGGCCGATAGGCTTTCCATTGCCGCAACCGCCTTACACAACGAAGGCTATTTTGTTCATACGGCACTCGTGGATATTTCAAGCTTCGACTCGGTCAACGAGCTTGCGCAAAAGGCCTTTGTCATAGGCCCCGTCGAGACGATTATTCTCGCTGCTGGCGTAGGTCCAGCAGCCGACTGCGCCCGCACCGTCTACGAAATCGACCTGCTCGGGACCATCAACGTTATGGATGCCTTCCTTCCCATCGTGCAGGCTGGTTCCAACTTCGTCTGCATCTCCGGAATGGCGGGTCACCTCTGTCCACCTCTAGATCCCGCATTCGAACGTCACCTTGCCACGGCATCACGGGAACGGCTCCTGGCGCATCCCGACTTCAACATCAATGAGCCGGGCCCACAAGGAGCGGCCGCGGCATACGGTCTATCCATGCGTGGGAAGCTGGTTCGGGTGCAGGCTTCTGCCGCGGCTTGGGGGTCAAGGGGGGCCAGGATCAATTGTGTGAGCCCTGGAGTGATTCCTGCTCGGACTGATCAGGACGGGGTGGATGGATCCGTTGATAATCTAGTAAGGATATCTCCTGCTAGGAGGGCTGTGACGCCGGCAGACATTGTCAACGCAGTCGCATTTCTTGTCAACCCTGGGTCCTGCTTCATCACTGGTACGGACATTTTGGTGGACGGTGGCATTGTCTCCTCCATGAGATGGGATGCGGAGTGATGGGATGCGGAGTGAGATTCCAGCAGGATAGCGGGAAGTTCGGGTGTTTAATAAGCATATGAGTGAACAATAATGAGCGCAAGAACTAGTACTTATATTGTGAGTTCTGCCATGAAACGATGTTGATGAGATCGGGTTGTTTCGATCGCCAAAAACATTTGATGTGTTTTAGTGGTCTTTGAAAGATTGATCGAGTCCGCTCGTAGCAGGGTAGCAGGGATAATGAACATATACTTGTTGCAGGAGAGTTGTAATTGGTAGATTTTCCCCGATGATGCACGTGTGACTGTGTCACAAAAGGCCGCACTTTGGCAGCCTGGCTGCCTAATCGTGCGACGTACAAAGCTGATCATGTCATACTCTCCAATAGACTCAATGCCTGACTGAACCTATTTGCATGTGATCTATGATCTAGGCAGAGCGAACATGAATTGTTCAGTTCGTTCATTATCCTCGAGGACGCTCTCAGCACCCGCTGGGCGGATGACACTCGACCAAAAACATTTGACTTCTTCGACACATTTGGCACCGAAGGCTGTCTTCTCTACTGCTCTGAATTCGCATCTCGCCAGAAGCGATCAAAAACTCACAAGCATCACACGAAGAGATCGTCAGACGAGGCAAGCACCGCGTTGCTCAAGGGAAGGCCTTTGAGTACCACGAGTTGGCAGAATCTGCCCTTAGCGGATGTGGGACCTGTGGAGCTATCAGACTGATGCTTGATGAAGCTGAGGCACAACATTCATTATCTCTTTCTCATTCTTCAACAATCAGATGGATCGTAGGCCACAAGGGCACGCTGAAAGTCACGGTGCCAGACGGACAGGAGACATGCGTCAGAATCCTCAACCTGTCAAACTCATGCAATACATTTCGACGGATGGACACAACCAATGGGATTGTAGGAGACACATCATCTTCTTTGAGTCTTCAACGCGCCCGAG